GATCAGTCGCGTGGAACTACAGTAGACTCAGACTTCACGTGCACTGACGATTGATGGTAAAGAAGCTTGCAGCCCACGTTCAATCAAGCTTTGGTAATGGCTCGAAAGGCACTATGTGCCCTGAGCAGCGGGTGCCACCCGTTGGTACAGACTCGAGGATGCTCGATCGCAGCTGTTGTGGACCTGGGCGTGTGGCATTTGGGGTAATGCTCAGAAATAGGATCCGGATCCAATACCTGAAACCCCCAAAGCAGGTGAAATAATGGCCCGACGCCTATAAAAGGTTACTGTTCTACAGACTTGTGGGGTCTAGGTCTTCATTCTCTGCAAGCTGCCACCTGCAGAGGCGCCGCAAGAACTTTGGGAATAATTGCTGCCAGTCAGTGGCGTGCTTTTGGGTTGAGAGGGAGGGCGAGAGAGAGAGAGAGAGAGAGGGAGAGAAAGAGAGAGAGAAAGAGAGAGAGAGAGAGTGTGTGTGTGTGTGTGCGCCCTCCAGTTTTTGCATTGATTGATAACTTGAGTCTGGGTTGATGAAGAAAGCTGTTTAGACCAGTCTACAGCAGATATCAGGCAGGAAGTACCTTTGAGCCTTGTTAAATAGGAGTAGACCAACGGTTGCCTCGTGGGTGTTTCCTTTGCGGGGGTCTGAGCTTTCACAATGCAGCGCATACAGTATGGGGGGGGGGGGGGGGGCGCTTCGCACGGGGGCAGGGGAGCCTCTCTGCGTTCTACCCTTCCGAAAGAGAAAGAGAGACAGTGGAGGGGGCCTGACACACACCCTTCAATCCCTGAAGAAGAGGAAGAGGCAGGGCTGTTACCCCCGCCGCCGAGCCCCTCCTTTCGAGACATCCGTGTCCAGAGTGCTTCATGTGCTTCTGTTTGACAAACTGAGGATTGCTTTGACGAGGGCAGAAGGTGGATGCGTTGATCATCGCGACGCTTTGCCGGTTCATGAGTTTGAACAACACATGCAGCCAGAATTCGGTGCAATTTAGTCTTCATGTTCACGCGAAATTGCAGTGTGCATGTTAGTATATGTGTGCGTACTAAACTACGCTCCCCGTGTATGTGTGCATGCACACACACATATATATGTATGTAGGTATGTATGTATGTATGTATGTATGTATGTATGTATATGTACATGTACATGTATATCTGTATATATATATATATATATATATGTATATATATATATATATATATATATATATATATATATATATACATATATATATATATATATATATATATTCATTATGTACCTGTATACATACATAGACACATACATGCATACATCTACAAACACACACACATTCATGTATATGTAAATATGTATGTATATATATATATATATATATATATATGAGTGTGTGTGTGTGTGTGTATTCTCACTCACCTGGGTTTACTTGATTATTCTGTAGCATATGCAAATATGTAGCAATGTAGCGGTGCTCCAGTCACACAGACGCACACACACGCGCACACACACACACACACACTGACTGTTTGCACACTCATGTGTTTATGTACGTATTTGCATACATGCATACATACATACGCACACGTATGGATGTATGCATTCATGCAGCTGCATATGCATGCGCCACTTCAGAATAGCTGCAGATAGGGTGCTCGTCTTTGCACCAGGGCTAGGGACTGGTGGCCCAAACCTTATCCCTCCATTGTGCAAGCCATGAGCTGCATCCCAAAACTCTGAAACCCAATCCAAGGAGTACACGCTCTACGACCGGGGCTCCACCTTGCCTCTCTATGTCGTAGAGTTTGAGCATCAGGAAGACTGCGGCTGCTCCGTGTGTACTGCATAGGCACATGGCAATGGGACTCGCCTTCCCATCCATCACCTTTCGAGCCTGTGATTCGAGTGGCGGCTGGGTTCCATAATGCCTGAAGTATATAATGCATGTTCGGTACATGGCCCAATGTACGGGCGAGCCCACTCGAGAGAGGCACTTGTGCGTGATGGCTGCACAGCGCCCACTCCACATCGTAGGGATGCGGAGGTTTGGGATCGAAGGCGAGGGTGGTGCTTGTGCCGATGTTACAGGGCTCTTGTTCCGTTACACATTTCTTTGAACTAGCTAGATTCTTGTAGTTGCTTTTGCACGAGGGTCGGGTGTTGACAGTGTTTTGACGGTGACATTGATGACAGCGATGCTGATGGTGTCGATGAGATGGACGGCGATGAGGCTGATGATGATGATGACGATGGCCAGTGTGCCGGTAGAAGGAGCACAGTGGCGGTGATGATGACCTCCCTGACGACGACGATGCCAGATTGATGCACTCGAATGCTATCACACGAGCTTGAGGAGAAACATCGACAAGCGTGTGGGCCGTGTCAGCAGCGTCAAAGCCCCACACAGTGGCTACTTTACTTGCACTTGCCACTCCGACTATTACACCATATCTCTCTCTGCAGACTGTCACAAGTCCACCGAGCCTCCGACTTGCTTTTAGTCGCTGCATGGAAATTCGTTTGGCCCAGCAGGGCAGACGTTCTGGGTCGAGTCAGATACAGCGAGAGCCTTCTCTACGTTTCCGAGCCAAAGCTCAAGAACCATCTCGTGGTTCGACCGCTGCTGTCTTATCCGTCTTCCATTCTGTGCGCCTGCAGTGATGATAGAAAGATGGATGTTTTCGGAGGTTCAGTTCGAACGAGTCCAAGGCCTGGGAAGTGTTGATGTGAGTTTAGCAGATGATCGCTTGACAGCGTCTGGTGCCAAGCGAGCTAGGGCTCACATTTTAGCCCAGGGAAACCACAATGTTCCGTAATGAGTGGCTCAGTCTACCCAACGACTTGCCTGCAGGAGCTATGCCGAACTATCTTTTAAAGTCAGGTTGCACACTGGGCGAAGCGAGTCTTGCAAATCGGCTTCCGGAATTGGCTGAGGTTTACGTTTGAGAATTTTGAATGGGTGTGGGCAGAAACTGCTTCTGAACGTAGTATCTCCCATTCAGTCGCGCCTGTGCGTGTAAATGTTCGAGAAGACATCAAGTAGAGTGAGCTAGCTCAGACTCCTGCACCGCCTGCGTCTCCAGAAGGAAGAGACTACTTGCATGTGACTTATATAGGAGCCCGCGTAGGGTGGTGCTGTGTAACAGTGTATGCATGCAGGTATGCATGCATGTAGCGGGTCTCACTAGGCGTGAAGGCATTGATTCGTTTGTGCGTGAGCGAGGGGGTTTCCACACTGCATTTCCAGCACCGACATGCATAGAATGCCAGCAAGACTTCGCAACGGCCGGCAACTTGTGTGTGCAAAGCGCCCAAACGTGCGTTCTTGAGCACAGAATTTTCAACTCTCCCTGGACGAAGCCCAACGGTGCGTGTCCAGTTGAGTTGGGCGGAGAATTGGTTCCCGCAAATCCGTGCCGTAGTAGACTAGATGCGAAGGGTTGTTCTGCAGAAAGTGAAGCTTAAGACCCCTACTCCGAGATCTGCCATTGACAATGGAGCAACCCCGCGACTGAGGCTCCAAGCCTTGGGCATTGCCATTGGCCAGCATTTAGCAGTGCCGATTGAATAGCGGAGATGGCAGCCTTGCCTGAACCCCTTCTTGAAAGCGCACTACAAGGCCTGAAGCCAGATGCCTGTGAATAGCCCAGAATGCGCACTTCCTGCCAGTCTCCTGCCGGCCGTGCCACCGTGAACAACGTGTTGAGGTTGCAGACCTGCTGCAATGGCTTCTTGCATCCATGGCTTTCGGCAGCAGGTACAGTTCGTTTGGAAGTTGATAGGCTGTTCGACATATTGAGATAGTTCAACGGAAGCTCAGGATTTGAGAGCCAAGCCACAGCATGTCTGCACAGCATTGCGGCACCGGCATGCAGGTATCGTGGGGGGAGGGGGGGGGAAATGCAGGTCTTTACAGTAGCACAGCGAGCTTAATTGTAAGTCGATGTTCGTGCTTATGTTGTCATGCGTATCTTCACCCTCTTATTGTACGGATGTAATTACCGATCAAGCGTGCGAGGTTAGGGGGGGGCATTGGGGCTGTCATGAACCGCGATGCTCGAAGGTGCTTTACATGAGCCGAATTTTATGAAGGCATTCCTTGATTTTCACAGGCAGTGGCCCGCTTGCTGACGCTTGGAAGGGCCATTGCTTGTACACGCTTTCCAGCACCGGGCTGGTATGGAACCTCGGACCTCGCGAGAGCGCACTCTCAACGCTAGTTCGGCACTTGGTGCAACCAGTGCCTCATGAAGCAGTCCCTAGCACACCTTAGAGAATACTACATTGAATCCAGTTCAAAGAGAGTTGCTCTTCGCCGTTTCAGTTTTTCACGTAGGATGCCACGGCCTCCGGGCCATGCAATGCCCTTCGGGACAATTTCTGCGATGGGGGGCACCACAACTCATGTAAGAATCAAAAGATGCCCGCTTCGTCTTCAAGTGCAGACCTGGCCTTGAGGCAGTTCCTACGGCCTTGACGGGAAGATGCCAAGTTCTGTTACTGCCGCTCTAGTGCGGAAAAGCACCTCAGCGCATGGCATCAATACTAGGCTATGCCGTGTGCAGTTCGACCCCGGGGTTCAGAACTTGACTTCTTCCATTGGCTCGACGAGCGAGTTTCTCGTGCTTTGGGCGAGAACCACAATGGGCCGCCCAAACAGCAGGTGCCTACCAACTGCAGCGGGCCGCATACCAGCCGTGGACCCATGAAAAGTCAACTTGTCGAGAAGCGGGAAGACGTGCCTCCCACTCTGTAAGATGTTTTCACAGCATCTGTCTTGCTAGAGTTTTTGGCCTCATAATAGAACACCCAGAAACCGCCCAGCAAGGAGCCATCGTGCGCAGACACCGCCTATGCAAGGTCCTCGCCTGACTCCAAATATCAGGGCCCCGATCAAAACGAAGAGAAGAAAGGGAGTCCTGCTGGGATCCTTATGACGAAGACCCATAGGAAAGCACGCCCCATTGTTGCCAGTTCATCTTTTGAGCCCTGGACCGGAAAACCCAGATTTCGGGGGCAGGTTAGCCTTGTGGCCCAACGCGAAAGCGTCTTGGGAGCCCTTTGCTGAGCTCTTCGGGTCGATTTTGTGTGTGTGTGTGGGGTTCTGATGGGAGTCGGGCAGTTCAGGGGCTGTAGGGTTTAGGGCTTGAGGCTTTCTGGGTTGAGGGCTCAGGGTTTTGGAACTCTGGGGTTTAAGGTTAAGTCCTGTAGTTGAAGCTGCAAAAAGGGCTTTTGGGTTTCAGGGTTCTGGAGAGAAGGGAAAGAAACAGAGAGAGACAGAGAGAGAGAGAGAGAGAAAGGGAGAGACAGGGGATAAGGGCGCGCTGCAATGATTGAGCTGTGCCAGCTCGCCAGACACCAATATGCAAGAGTATCCCTGTTATCATCGGTCCCGTGGCAATACTATGCAAAAGTGTACGATACCCCCAATCCAAATTCTCATCATGAAGAGGGCAGATTGCACAGCTCGGTTCATCCAAGCTCGAAAACTTGCGAGACTTCTAGGGCGCGGGCAGCGGAGTTTCAGGGAATCTGCAGGTGCTCAACTCCGACTGTCAACCACTGTGGTATCACGAGCTTCACGAACCTGGCCACCTTTGCTGATTTGCAGCCTCAGCAGGGCACTAGAAATTGGATGGTGGGCCTTGAAACCCGTCCTGGTTTGCGCCTGTCAAAGAAATCTACCCTCCGAGCCTGAGCCTCTGTTACCCACAAAGCTTTTCCGCTCGCTCCTGTAAGGCACCCCGCTCCAAGCACTGCAGCACCAGGCTCCGAGTGTGAGCGCCTCAACTCAGGTTCCAGGGTCATGGAAAGCAAAGTCTTGACTAATCGTCCTGGACTTATTCTGAGGCCTAACTTCAAACAGCACTGCCAGCTTGCAGATCTTGCAGCTGGAGCTTCGTGTTGCAAAGTCTGTTGATATCGTCAAGTTTGGTGCCGTTAAGATCTTCTCCTTTGGCACACGCTCCTTTCCGTTCCAGGCTCTGTCATCCACAGCACTGGGCCCGAGGACTGCCGGCACTGGGGGTTGCAAGCGAGGGTGCACAGGGTACTTGAGACATACGAGGACAAGGCAAGGCCGTTCGTGCTGTGGCATCGGGCGATTATTTCGATTATCCGCCTTTTGAGGCCTCTGAACTCTGGCTAGGACGGACCAGAAGGACTAGCTATTCTAGTAAGGGTCCGCCATCTGAGCCGGACGAAGCAGACATGTATTTGGTCAGGCCCTGGTGTGCCCAAGCTTTCGTTCGGAGATGGACCTGCCCCTCACCCGTCATGAAGCCCCAATAAGAAGCCTACGAGCAAGTGCCTTGCCACATCTCATTTTCAAAAAAATGTCATGCCCCTGCACCCCGAGACTCGCTGAGCCTCAGCTTTGCTATGCTTCACCGCTTCTCCCCACTACGTTTGCCTGGAGCCTTTGCATCCGTTTGGTGCCATGGTCTCTGGCTACTTGCTCAGCGGCTTGCTGGTCACGGCGGTCAGCTTCGCGCTTCCGCACCTGATTTCCATACTTAGACGTACTGAAACGCGTTGCTCAATGAGGTTGCTGTTGCTTGAACGGGCTTTACGACTGGTAGGAACAGAGCACTGCTCCGCGGCTAACCCACTGGCCCCCCAGATTGAGGCATAACACAAAGTACGATCACCTGGCGAAGCCGAGGAAGCTTTGGCAGCCTTCTCCACCCGAGACCAAGCTGTGGACAAGGACGGGAGCCTAAGCGATCCGCTGCGCATGGAATCAGGCTTCATCGAAGCTCGCCACCAGCTCTCTGGGTTTTGAGTTCTTTCGGGGGAGGCCGAGTTCCGCTCACTTCAACTCTCTCCAGTTCTGAAGGACCTTCCCTTCGCCGTCTGGGGCGAAGCCTTGTGCAAGTACAGAAGAGGCGGAACCTATATGTTCATAGCATTTGGAGGTTTGGTGACTATTGGCCGGCGATGTTTTTGGTCGGTGCTGATTTGTGCCTGTCTCTGGTGCCATCAGTGATGCCCCGTCTTTCTTACCAGTGGTTTCGCTTGGATCGAAATCAAAGATGCCTGGCCCGAGGCGCTCCTCGCCGGCAGAGACAGAGCCACCCAGGTGCCTCTCCCTGTCAGGGTTGCCAGCATCCAGCATCCCCGACTCTTCCTCAAGCGGTCTGCATCTTGCCTGCCTGTCCAAATAATTAGGTCACTTCGTGAAGAGGCTCAAGTACATCTGGACAAGAATCCTGTCGTTTGGACTATTGCAACAAGAACTGAGACTATCGGACTCAGCCGAGCGAATCAGCGAGGCGTCAAAGCAGCGAAAGCCAGCGGAACCCACACCAAACTCTGTAGGTCATCGACGAGAGCGTCGCCGGGGCCCTGCAGCGGCCAAGCCGCTTCTACGGGCTGTCCTTGCGCCTCGCTCTGTTTTGAGAGCGGGGGTTCAGGGAGGGTAGGGAGGATCTTTGATCATGAAGAGTTTCTGGCATGGCATTCCTCCTGAATGTCGAATGCTGGTGAGAGAGAATCTCCTGAAAAGCTGATACATTAAGTTGCCCGAAGAGACTTTCGGTCGTGCGAGGCTGCGTGGAGCCATCGAAGGCGATATGGTGACTCTCGGCCTCGTCTATTCTGGAGACGAGTCTTCACTCTTCACCAAGCTGTAGGATCTCAGGATGGCGACACCCATGGATTCACGGCCCGTAGAAGATTGAGACCTTGGGAGCTTAGGGCGCTGATGCGCGAGGATGCTTTGCACCTGCTGCGACAGGGCCGCTTGACGCCGTCAGGCGTGGCGATGAAATGGGGTCACACGGTGAGACAGGAACAGAGGGTTTCGAGTCTCGAGAAGCAACTACTATTGTTGAAGAAAATGGATGATCCGTGGTCCACACGTTACTCGTATTTATGTTTTCTTGCCATTGGGGCGGCTCTTGGCCAGGTGACCCGGACGAGCCGCAATTGTGCCTTGTGCGCAGCAGCAGCTGTTTTGTTGCGCTCATTCGCTGTTTCAGTTTCCGTGGAAGAGGGTACGTATGTGGCGCAGCCCTCCACATGTCTAAGGGAGGCGAAAGCTATCACACCAACACGACCTTCGAAAACTGGAATTCAACCTGCAAAGTGAGAACAGAAAAATCTCGCACTGCTAATGCCCCTTTACACCACTTCATCTGCAAAATCTCTAGGCACAGGAGGCGGAACTATTAATGCTGGATGTCGGGCCCTTCGCTTCACTAGCAAGAGAATACGAGACACAGACAAGGCTCTCAACAGTCGCGACATCATGGCCAGAAGTATGCCAGCGCTGCTGGGGAACACATGCCTGCTCCTGCACTCAGGACTGAGCAGTACAAGAATCAGAGCTGCAATTGAGAAATGTGGCAAGAGCTATAGCTATGGCAAGGGCCTGCGGCCTAAGTCCGATACAAGTGTTGACGCCGGCAGCCGGCGCTTAGAAGGCCAGGTAAGAAAGGGCCGTCGCTTTTGGATTTTGGATGCTGTTGAGGAGATACCTGGGCAGTCTCCCAGTGCTGACCATCCTCGATCCGCAGCGAGCTGCTGCTACCGGACTGCAGAGGAGATGCGATTTGCAAAATGCGCTGACTTTCTGAAGCCTAAGAGGCATCATCAGCTCACGCCTTCCTCGCTCCATTCTCGATCTAGGATCTGAAATATCTCTCGCTCCTCCCTGTCTTTCTCTCTTACTCTTTCTCTCTCAGCTCAGGCGGAAGGCCTCGTTGGCCTGGCCTACGGAGCGGCTTTCTTGACAGGCAGTGAGGGTTTCAGGATGCAATAGCCAGGATTGGAAGGGGCGTCTCGCGAAGTTAGTGCTTTTCAAGATGTTCAGAAGAGTTCAGAAGCATGCAGAAAGGCTGCCGAGCACTGGGGGGAGCCCAGAGGTTTTCACTCAGGGCGCAATGTGACTCTGGAAAACTGGAGCATAGGATATCTTCCACAGTAGCTTTGAGTAGAGACCGACATCCTGCCAGTGAGGAGGAACCCGAAAGGAGCGAATCCAAAGATGGTTTCCCACGGTTCCCAGTTCCCAGCTTGTTGAGGCTGTTCTGGGCGCTCACATTCCTTTGGGCCCGTGTCTTGCCCCTATTTGAGGCGTCTGTGGCCGCTTGAATGAGCTGGGGTCACAGCCCCTGGAGCCTGGCACGCTGCAGTCCCTCAGCGACAAGTGTGGTTTGGGAAGCGCCGCCAGAGAGATGTCAGGATTTCGGCTTTCAGCCGCCGTTTTTGCTGCAACGATGTGCCTGTCGAATCAGGCACGCCACGCGAACTTGACTGTGCGGACGAGCGAGCTGTTGAAAGCTCGATCAGTACGGAGGGCAAGCGCGAGGAAGACCATGAACAAGCCGGTATGAAAGCGAACGGTTTTGCACAAGAGAGGGGATGAAGCCGCTTGAAGGGGCTGCCGTTGAGCCGAGACAAAATTCGGAAGCAAATGTGCTGGAAAGGCTAGAGTCAGAGTCACAAACTGACTGGCTGGCGACGATGAGATTGATGGGAAGTCAAGAATTTGGTAATTAGAGGGGTTGAATCATGCTGAAGCTGTTGAGTACAGGATCCGAGCAGGGGAACTGCGCCATCCGCAGTTGATTTAAAGGTTTGAGCGGAGAGAGTCCGACAGGGACTCGTCAACGTGCCAAAACGGGGCAAAGCACACGACGCGAAGAGAAGTTGAGAGACCACAGAAGTTGAGAGTCGGGAGCAGGTCGTGTTAAGCGTTAAATGGCAGACCCTTTCGAAAGTCGAAGGGGATTATAGAAGTTGGGGGAGACGTTCAACACAGTCACATAGCTTGGAGCTCGATGCCCAATTGCGAGAAACGACTCTCTCTGCATACAAATGCAACTTTGCACTGCATGCAGGGGACGTGCCGACTGCGCATCCCAAGGCTTGCCTGCTACGACGGCGAGGGTGTGGCCTACCACGTGCACGAGGAGCAGGGACTATAAGGGCTGCAATAACGGTTGTATTGATAGGGCACTGAGGTTGGAGCATCAATGTCGAGACTGTGTCTCTTGATTCATGCACGTTGCTTCAGGACGTAAGTGACGGATGCCCATGCGCCACAGCCCGAAGCCACAAGAATGAAGTCGGGCCCGAGGACTATGTCCCACGGAAGGATTACAACACGGAAGATCTGCCAGAGCATCATCGCCTGGCCTACAAGCGGCGAGTCACCGCCATCCTGCCGCTGTGCTGTTTGGTGAAAATGCAAGCCATTACCGCGGCCCCAACGAAGTCTTCGTGCAAAACGTTCAGCCCCTTCACGCTCCCATGTGGCATGAACCCACGGCTGCTTGTGGATAGCCTGCCTCTCGCAGACACCCAGCTTTGTCGAACTTGAAGGTTCGGTAGTTTCGAAAACTCTTGCAATGAAGAAACAGTGTCTCAGGTATCTGCAGGAGGACTGGAGGGAGAACCTGGGCGGCTCATTCCGCGCTCATGCAGTGCGGCCAGAGAAGGCTCGCTGTCAGACTTGGCGGAGTGCAGGCTGCATGGAGGGTTTCCTAGTAGTATGTAGTAAGTAGTAGAGTAGGTAGAAGATTCAACCTTTTTTGGGTTACCATAATCCCTACACCGATGCCTGCCTTTTGTGGCTTGCAGGGATGCGTTCTAGGTTCTGGGCTTTTTCTTTAAGGCAGTGGTGGTTGGGAAGGCGGGGTGGGGGGGTTCACCACATCTTCCATTCATCTCTATGCGAGTGGAGTCTCCGGGGCAGGATGTAGATGTAGTCGAAGAGGAGGTCTTCGCTCGCGCTTCAGAATACGACGGGTGCACACACAAGTTGCCTTTTTTTGACTCGCGATCCAATCCTGGCACACGACATGGCATAAGCTTTGGTCACGAGGATGAGCCTCCTCCAGCTGACTATGTTGATGTGCTGCCTGAGACTTGTCTGAATGTGCATGACGATGAAGCTCTGCCTCCAGTCAACTCCACAGAACCTGGTGATTGAGCTCCTTATGTCACGATTGAAGCTTGCCTGCAAGCTTACACAGCTTCCATCGCGAGAAACTCCCAGCAGAC